GTGCTTGGGTGACCCTCTGCACAGGGGGAAAGCACGCACTCACCGGACCCAGGTTCCTGAACCCATGCTTCCTGGCCATCCGCTCAGCTTCCTGCGGCCCTGCAGGCACCAGCACCGCCCAGGTGTTGGTGTAGACGTGCTGGCCGAGCACCTCTCTGCCCAGGAGGGCCAGGCAGGCCACCGTCAGCGTGCACCAGAAAAGCAGCAGGGGCCGTCTCAGATCCATGAAAGCCAGAGAGGAAGGAGTCCACGGAGCACCTTTAAAGGAGGCACTCGCTCTGCCCAGCAAGGCCCCAGTCAGTCCGAGGGAGCATAGGGGTGGCGGTGCTCAGGTGGACCAGAAAGCGTGGAAGCCTCCGGGCTGAAGATAACTCCTGCACAGCAGCAGCACCACCTAAGGACAGAAGGGGAAAAATTAGCCAGCTCATTGGCACATCCACGCAAAAAGCAAAGGCACGGACCCGCAAGGAGCCCCTCGACACTGCCACACGTCTACGGCCTCAGAGATGTGCCAGAGCCCAGGCAACTGCCCTATGGGTCACCCTCCTAGCTTTTCCACCCAGCCGACCACCCTAAGGCCCCCTCCGGGCCAATCTCCTTTCTACAGGAAGCGCTCCAGGGTAAAGGCAAGAGAGGCCCAGCAGAAGCCCACAGGCGGAAGAAGGAACCGGAGTCCTTCTGCCATTCACTTCGACCTGGACGGTCTTGTGACAAAGACATGGCAGCAGGACGCCCACGGACGGGCCGGGCCAGCCTCTGCAGCCCAAGAGGCCCTTCATTCCCACTCACATGGCTGTTAAAACACATGCATCCCTCGGGAAATTTCTCTTTGGGATGGGGCTCAGGTCTATGATGGTGAAGAAAGATAAAACTGAAGCAGGCAACAAGAAGCCCACTTTGGGAAACAGGCTGTTTGCCAGCATTCCTCACAAATTGTCCCTCCTGTCACATAATTCTGCCCTGAATCATCTGCCTCTGGCCACCTCCTGCACATCGGCAAAAGCGGTCAACCCTTTCCCATCTCCTCCGCCGAGGCTGCTCTGCTGTCTTCTGCATCCTCCTGGCAGACGCAGCCCCCCACATTCCCACATGGACGTTCCTAGGAGGGCTGGATCAAGGGTACCTGAGAAACACACTTGCTGGATGGATTATATGGAAGGGTGGCGTATGTGTGCGCGCACACATGGGTACATGTGTATGCATGTATACAAAGAGGCTGAAAGAAATGTTTGCCTCTGGGCATTCCAAGTCCAACACCATAACATGCAGCAAATGTGGGACCCAAGCCCTCAGCTGTTGCTTGAAAAGGGGTCAGAGTCAAAACGTTAGACTTTGGAACAGAATCTGAAGAATCGATTACAGCTCTTCCTGCCTGGCCACTGTTTACTCTCCTCCTTCTCCCCCCTGCCCCAAAAGTTCTTGCTGATTTCTGTCAGCAAAAATTTGCCAAAGTTCTTGCTGACAGAAATCAGAAGCCAACTCAAATCAGACCGTCTCTCGACTGTCCGACACTATCATTTCGACTGTCTGCAATCGCCTTCCAGAATCGCAAGCTGAGAAGGCGCTTTTCCTCATCTCCCACCAAAGGGCTTTTCAATGAGATACTGCCAGGGTCTCTAAGGCCGAGGCAGCCTCGGGAAAGTAAAGCAGGTGGTCTGCCTAAGGCCAAGCTACTTCAGACCCTCCCCGAGGGCTGAGGAATCCACACATCAAAAGGAGAACAGGAGTGCACCCACCCACCCACGTCATCCCTTGTCTTCACAATCCTGTATGCTCCCAGAAACAGCTACAGGATTTCAAAGGTGGGGGACAGCACCAGCCAAACCTGCTTTGCAACAACCAAAAACCTGGCAGATCAGACCGGAGGTGGGTGAATAAGCTCTCAGCCTCCCTCTCCCTCGACACGCTCATTAGCTGCCTACATAGACTCCAGATACCTTTTTGGGAGCCCAAGCGGAGGCAACAGAAGCAGCTCTTGAACTTCAAGCATCAGGATTCTGAAATGCCATAAAGGCTAGGGAGTGGCCCATCTATTTACTGCCTCTGGTTGAAAAATGAGAGGAATGTTTTTCCCCCAGTCCAGGCTACAAGTCTCATAGAGCAGATGCACATTCATACGGGGCTGAAGGAGACAGACTCTTCTTACGCACAGGCAAAAGCTTAAGCTGAGCACGGGCGCATAAAAGTACCACTCGCAGCAATTCATCTCATGGCTGAGGCAGCCCCAGCACCGCTTGTGGAGCTGATCAGACCCCACTCTGTCCTGCATACTCCTTGGCTAATCAGGGGACACAGCACTGGGACAAGGCTGGCCAAAACGTTGTGTCCGACATTTTGGGTCTCAGAAGCACATTAAGGGAGGAACTTCATGAGCCTCTGCCTCTCCCTTGCCCTGCACACAGCCTTGTCACCCCTTAAACACAGCCCCAGCAGGGCATTGGAGGCAGCCCACGGCTTCCAAGGGGCAGCGACACCAGCATGCAAGTCGGGGACATGTCCCTCGTAGAGTAACTGGGCCTCAAAGGCAGCCTACTGCTGCTCCGTATTTTAAACACCTTTTAGGAACACACTCAGCTTCAGGAAGCACTCTGCTGAAGATCCATAGTCCAGGCCTGAACCATCGTTCAGCCTCTGTTTTGGACAACACTCACAACTTCTTCTGGTCTGTTCAGGAAGTATTTCTTTTCACAAGGCTAAGAGTCCTGCCCCACTTGGTCCTACAACAATGCAAACAACAACAACAACAAAACAAACAAAAAAGGACCGGACATTCACCCTTGCTCTACCTCCAGGGTAGCTTTTCCAAAAGGCAGGTCTCCTAAAGTCCCTCTGTGGGTCATTGCTGAGTTGCCAAGATTTGATCGATCCCTACCTGGTGCCCCCTCGGGCTGATTTCCCTTTAATCAGTCTTAGAGGTAGGGGCAGGACCAAGCAAACCAACACCGGGAGGGGGGCAGATTCTCTGATGCCTTCCTACAAAGCACAGGAAACAAAGCCAGCAGCTCCTTTCCATTCTGCCTAGGATGACCATATTCATGTATTAGAAGCCCTGTTTTACAGTAGCAGAGAAAAGGCTCACCTACTCTCCACTCACCAAACCGCAACCAGGAGAGACCCCAGGACATTAAAGTGGCATCTCTCTGCCAGGGGGAGGGCCTGTATCTCTTGGTTTTTTTTCCCACCCACCCACTTGATTTCTCAAACACTGGATTTATTTTGATCCCGGAAGCTCAGAGGTTCTTGGATGAGGCCCAGTTCAGCAGAGGCTGGCAAGGACTCTTTAACAGCAGGGGAGGCCTTCAGGAAGTGCTTCTCTCTCCCCCCCCGCCCCGCAGGTCCAAGAGGGAGCCCTCCCGGGGAGGGGGGCATCCTCGTCTTATTCGGCCGCTTCCCCGCTCCCTTTCCCGGGAGGGCAAGCTCTCTTCCCCAAGGCCCGCTTCGGAGGTCACACGAACACCTCTTGCCCGGCCTCTTCCCCCCTGCCTTGCGGGCGCCCGTCCCATCTCAGAGGAAGGGGGTCTCCAGGCCCGGGACAGGAGCCCCGAAGGGCAGCCTGCCAACCGCCTCGCCCCCGACCTGGCA